TAATTGTAAAGGTTAAAAAAAATGCAAAAAAGAAAATTTTAATGAAAAAATGTAATCTAACTAATGAACCAAATCTATTTATACTGTAATATCTAGCCATATATGTTTGCTCACTTATTCATAATAGCAGTAATTTAGTATACACATTACAATTTCTATTTTAGAAATACGGAAGCAGATCCAAATTAAGTATGTTTTCCAGCCAGGATGTTTCAGAACCAGGACAGAAACCCACGGTTGTTTCACGCCTTGGCCAAAAAGAGACAGTATAGATATGACTCAAGAATCTTTGCCGCAGCCTATGGACCTCTCACATATTTTGTGGCAAACTGCAATACCTCTAAATTTAGGATCATTTTTTACTTGGACCATAGATTTTAAATATTTTTGGATCAAAGAAATATACTTAAACCTCTGTCGAGGAAGAAATAATTGACCTATATAATCCCCTGCCATTCCCTAAGCACTGTGCACTCTGAATGAAGTCCTTTGTTGAAGAACTGTTTTATTGGGTTGTTAAGATGAAAATGGGGGCTCAGAGATCTAATATAGAAACTTATCAATGTAATTCACCACATAAACCAATTAATAAAGAAAAAATTCAGCTGGGCGCCCGTGGCTCATGCCTGTAATCCCAGTACTTTGGGAGGCCGAGGCGGATGGATCATGAGGTCAAGAGTTCAAGACCAGCCTGGCCAAGATGGTGAAACCCCATCTCTACTAAAAATACAAAAATCAGCCGGGCGCAGTGGCGGGCACCTATAATCCCAGTTACTTGGGAGGCTGAGGCAGAAGAATTGCTTGAACCCAGGAGGCAGAGGTTGCAGTGAGCTGAGATTGTACCACTGTAGTCCAGCCTGGGTGACAGAGTGAGACTCTGTCAAAAAAAAAAAAAAAAAAAAAACCTATGATCATCTGAATAGATGCACTACAAGTGTTTGATAAAATTCGACATATACTGAAGATAACTACTCTTAGTAAACCAGGAATAGAACTTCTTTACTCTGATAAGCTGCACCTATAAGAAAAGTACACTAACCATTATGGTGAAATATGGAAAATGATGTGTTTCTGATCAGAAACAAGACAAGAATGTCTACAACCACCAACTGCATTCAAATTATACTGGGAAATTCTGTCCACTACCATGAATGAGAAAAGTAAATAAAAGGAATAATGTTAAAAATGGCAAAAAAAACCACCTGTTATTATTAAAAGATTATACAATTGTGTATGTTAAAACTCCAAAAGGATATAGAGGTAAACTTTTGGAATTAATAAGCATAGTTAGAAAAGTTGCAGGATAGAAAATCAATGTATCAACATGTTCTCTCTTTATACCATCTCAAACACAGGATTTAAACTTTCATAAAAGATGCAATTCTCAAGAGTACTAAAAATCTAGAAATAAATTTAACAAAAAAGTATAAGAAGTCTTTGCAGAAAACTGTAAAACTTTATTAAGAGAATGTTTAGCAGTCAAATTTCCAGCATAAGAACAATATTCTTGGTTTCAGTCTTCATTTGTCTTGGTTTAAACCTATAGTTGCCCTTCACCTATAATATAAATATAAAATTAGGGGACGTTACTCAGCAGATTTTTATTTAGATGACACTAGAGTTATACAACTACAGTGTTGATTAACTAAAATCAGAACCCTGAAGTTGTCCCTTTAGCTTACATCCAGCTAGCCTCTAAATAAACTTTGAAGGTAGACTTCCAGGCATATTAAGAATATTTTTAATTCATGCCATTTTTTCTAGTAGAATAAGGAAAACAAAGAGACTGTTCGAGTACAGAATGAATTAAATCAAGTGAATCTATTTTATATGTGTAAGTGGAAAGCAAAAATATGCCTATACTTTTAGTAAAAAGTCAACCAAACAAAAACCTAAGGAAAAAAATATATTTTAAAGTATCATTTAAATATTTTGATATGAAATAACACCGAATATAGAATATGCTTAGAACTGCCTAAGTGTAGGAAATAGAAAAGTCAGTATTACTTTTGTGCATCTTGTGAAAAAGTGTAAAAATGTTACTTTGGACTAGTTTAGACATTATGTAGTTCTTTAAGTAGTGAATATTTGTCACTATTTTCATGGGTACTCCTGCCTCTCAACGTGCTTAAAAGCATTTCAGTTTATACAGTAAACCGAAAACCACCACACTAGCTTTAAGCCATTACCATCACAATTAACATTACAATATAAACTGATACTTATTATAAACATGTTACGTATTTGTTAAAAACAATTGCCTGTAAAAATATCTGAAAATTATTGGCTGTTGGTTAAATGACTTACATTCAAAAGTTAGAAAACCTTTTCATATCTTTCTTTTAAAAATGACACATGAAATCATATATATTTATCACATACAACATGATGTTTTAAAATACATACACATTGTAAAATGACTCAATCAAGCTAATTAATATATGCATTACTTCACATAGCTGTGAAGACACTCAAAATCTACTCTCTTAACATGTTTCATACCTTTAATATCATAATTCAATTAGCTTTGACCCAATTTTTCTCTGTCTCTTGAAGTCCTGGCCTCAAGTGATCTTTCTGCCTCGGCCTCCCAAAGTGCGGGGATTGAAAGCATTAGCCACCAAACCTGACCCTCTATCTCTGATAGTGTGTAAGGCAGCCATCTGGGGTCTGAACTGCCTTCAAAGAATCTTTAGATGTGAAGTATGATATTGAAGTAGCAGTAATTTTGTCTCTGTGTCACACAAAATACAATATTATGAAAATAGAAGCCCCATAGTATGCATCTTATTGAATAACATACCTGCTTCCAGCACTTTAGTGGGACCAAGAGTGGGCAGAGTCCCCTCCCTGATATCAGGACCACCTCCAGGCTCATCCTCTATCTTAAGCAAAGCAAATTCCTGTTGAAAAGCTTCCAAATCAGGCCCTTAAAGATAAAAAGGTCATCAATCTACGAATTAAAATATGAACTATGAATGAGGAAATAATATTTATTCCCTTATCATTGTGAAATAAAAACCTGTAGGCTAATTATTTCAGGAGTCTGTTGCCAGAAAAACAGGAAAGCAGAGATGTTCAAACACTGCCCTTTCCTTTCCCAAGGTTGGCCCTAGACAACTTACTTGTAGGTTTTGTAGTCATTTGTTCTTATTCTTATCACATTCAGTAAGTGACTTGTTTGAGTCAGTCTAACTAGACTATGAGCTTTAGGCAAAAATTTGGCACTGACATCTCCAGCACTTAGCATTACGTGGCATAAGGAAGCATTAATAAATGTGTGTTAAAAAGTATCTTAAAAAAATACATGAGATGTCAGCAGATGGCAGACTAGGAAGCTGCAAGCTGCCATTTTTCCACAGAAACATAAAACAAAACAAAAAACACAAACTGGCTGAACAAATCATACAGGAGCTCTGGAAAACACTCAAAGGTTTACAGCAACCAAGCAAATACCCAATCAATAAAAAGCCTCCATCAAAATGGTAGGAAAGTTTTGTGGCTTTTTATATGTCCTTGTCCCACCCCTCCCCACAGCAGCAGCAGGAAATGTTTAAGATTCCTTCCTATTGTTTTCTGGCCTCCTGTTATGGGTATGTCATAAAATATAATGCATAAATATACCTCCACCACCCACAAGCATTATTCTCCACTCTCCCTTCACCTTGAACAGCAGGTGCTCCTTCATTTTCGATCTCCCCATTAGGTGCAATACCCTGATTTTCATTTGGTGGTTCCTCTTCTTGACGTTTTTTCTCAGTGGGCTGCTGGACCTAAGGGTGTAAGTGTGTGTGCAAATAAAAAGTCAACAATATAAACACACAAATGCATATGTGCATCAAATAATAAATCTAAAGACATTTTCCAACATATATATATAGAGAGAGAAAAAGAGAGTAAAATGTCCATATCCATACAGGCAACACCAGAATATAATATTCCTGAACCAAAGTTGCCTTCGTGAGATGCCATCATCATTTTTTTATTAACATGGAACACCTGTGTCAGTGCAGGTACACTCGTTCAAAAATATTTTTTAAAATAAATTGTGTTAATAGAAAACATCAAATGTTAAAGGACTCACAATCACAGGTCCAACTGGCTGGGAAGACTCCCGGTCATTTCCTCTTTCTGAGGATTGAGATCTTGTTCTTACATGCTCACTCATATTTCCCACTGAAAATAAAATACTGTTATTTGGAAAAAGTGTGTAAGAACTTAGCTATATATATGAACATTCCATGGCAAAACGGTGATTTGTACTTTTTTAATTTAAAAAATGTTGTCAAAATAAGTCACAGAGCAGTAAGTATTCATGCTTTCCAATCAAACTAAGGACAGATTTGTTTGTGTCATAGCCGAAGAGGCATAGAAATCACCTTAACGCCATAGTAAAACACAGAGGACTTTTCTGAATGTTGGCTTCACAATTAGACTCTCCATCATGTAGACATTTAGGGAAAAAACGGGAAGAGAATTGAAACTGAAGTGACTGCTGCTTTCGTCCCACTGATATACTAGGGCCACCACCACCTCCTCCCCACCCCGCGAAAAATCAAGTTTTGTTGGAACGCACAGCCTCGCCCATTCCTTCCCATGACGTACATGGCGGAGGTGAGAAGTTGCGACACAGAGTGAAGGTTATGTTCCTCATGGGACACCTTTACCAGGCACTCTACAGACCTCGGGGCCGCAGTCACCACCCCACAGCATTCCCAGTTCCCAGGCCCCTTCCTTACCGACCACACTGTCCCTTCTTGCCTCCCTAATGAGGAGTCTGGAAACTGTCCTCCCTCAGAGAGTTTCAGGCGTTTTCGGGACTCAAGACACCTCTAACAGCACCCTCAGCACTCGCCCCATCTTCACGTGATCTACCCCCTCCACGGCCCACCTTCCTCCCTCGTTCCAGCCCAGCCACGATTACTGGCCCATGGCGCCTGCATCGCGACCTGGGAGAAGCCGGACCACAAGGCCCTTTTCCCTCAAAGCCACGGACCGTGCTATGGGACCTGTCCTAACGCTGGCTCCTCCACACATTCACTCACAACTGAATTCCCAGGAAGACCGCTCTGCGGACCTACCGGCTGAGTCTCGGTCAGTGAGAAAGAACGAAGATGGCGGAAAGAATGAAGCCACAACTTCTCCCTGCAGAGCTCTGCGAGGACAGAAGATGGGCAGAAGGTAGGCAGAAAAGCGCATGCGCAACAACATGCGCAGCAACAGGTCTGTGCAGCATGCGCACTCGGTGGGGCATTTGCTATGTGACTCAAGTCTTCTTGCTTCTGTGGAGAACCTAAACCACAAGCTATCCTGACAACGAAAATGAACTTACAAAGCATTTTTCTTTTTCTCCTGCCCAACCTTTCTTTCACTTCCAATGGCGTTCTAGAATATGAGCTCCAGGTTACTCAACAATGTGTTTCAGATAAATTCACCATCATATAAATAAATATTAAATATGTCAATACCCATTTTATATCTGCTTTCATAAATAATTTTCTTGCTCCTTCACGAGTTTGCTGTCATGCTTGCAACGATCTTACCCACTCCAGTACAATAAGACATCCATAGTTTTCGTTGCATGATTGTACATTCAAAATCATTAATCCCGGCCAGGCGTGGTGGCTCACGCCTGTAATACCAGCACTTTGGGAGGCCGAGGTGGGCAAATCACGAGGTCAGGAGATCGAGACCATCCTGGCTAACTTGGTGAAACCCCATCTCTACTAAAAATTCAAAAAATTAGCCAGGCGTGTTGGCACGCGCCTGTAGTCCCAGCTACTCGGGAGGCTGAGGCTGGAGAATTGCTCGAACCCGGGAGGCGGAAGTTGCAGTGAGCCCAGATCATGCCACTGCACTCCAGCCTGGGCAACAGAGTGACTCCGTCTCAAAAAAAAAAAAATCATTGGTCCAGCTGAACAAAATTAAGTGGTAGGGACTCTATGTTATTTGTTGAATCCCTGTTTCACCCACTGTTTTGAATTGGCTCTTTTATCATCACCTACATCCCCACTCAATTTTGTATGTAACTCTCTTCTTTTAATTTTCTTCCACTGAGTTGTTTATACCTGTGCCACTACCATACTATTTTAATTGCTGTAGCTTAATTATATTTGAAATGTGAAATAATGCTTGCCCTCCCTCATTGCTTTCTCCTTTTCTGTCTATTCTGACACGTTTGTCGATGAACTTCAGAATAATTTGATCAGGTGCTAAAATATTCCTATTGAGACACTAGTTGTTATTTTTAAATTACATCTTAACTTAGGGACAATATCTATCTTTCTATTTTATTTATTTTTTTTACCTTTTTTTTAAATTTATTTATTATTATTATACTTTAAGTTGTAGGGTACATGTGCATAACGTGCAGGTTTGTTACATATGTATACTTGTGCCTTGTTGGTGTGCTGCACCCATCAACTCGTCATTTACATCAGGTATAACTCCCAATGCAATCCCTCCCCCCTCCCCCCTCCCCATGATAGGCCCCGGAGTGTGATGTTCCCCTTCCTGAGTCCAAGTGATCTCATTATTCAGTTCCCACCTATGAGTGAGAACATGCGGTGTTTGGTTTTCTGTTCTTGTGATAGTTTGCTAAGAATGATCATCAGTGACAGACTGGATTAAGAAAATGTGGCACATATACACCATGGAATACTATGCAGCCATAAAAAAGGATGAGTTTGTGTCCTTTGTAGGGACATGGATGCAGCTGGAAACTATCTTTCTATTTTAGAATTTCTCTATGGAAGAAAAAGCCACTCCTCATTTCCTCAAGTCTTTTTATGTATCCGTCACAATGATTGTGTTATTTGCTTCATATTAGTTCTTAACATTCAAATTAAATTTATTATTGGGCATTTTTATTGTTCTATTCCATTGCTGACAGTGGTTTGCTTTCACTGCACTATGTTTTTCATAGAAGTCAAACAATCTCTGTTTGCAAACAGTATGATTCTATACCTAGAAAATCCCAGACTCTCTGCCCAAAAGATCCTTGTCCTTATAAACAACTTCAGGAAAGTTTCAGGATACAAAATTAATGTACAAAAACCAGGAGCATTTCTATACACCAACAACCTTCAAAGTCAGAGCCAAATCAGGAACACAATCCCATTCACAATTGCCACAGAAACAATAAAATACCTAGGAATGCAGCTAACTAGGGAGGAGAAAAGTCTCTACTATGACAACTACAAAATACTGTTTAAAAAAATCAGAGATAACAAAAACAAATGGAAAAACATTCCATGCTCATGAACAGGAAGAAGCATTTTGTTGTCAAAATGGCCAAACTGCAATTTATAGATTCAATGATATTCCTGTTAAACTACCAATGACACTCTTCATGGAATTAGGAAAAAAAAAAAAAAAAAACGACTTCAAAATTCATATGGAACCAAAAAAGAGCCCGAATAGCCAACGCAATCCTAAGCAAAAAGAATGAAGCCAGAGGCATTATATTACCTGACTTCAAACTATAATACAAGGCCACGGTAACCAAAACAGCATTGTACTGGTACCAAAACAGTCACATAAACCAATCAAATAGAATACACAGTCCGGAAATAATGCTGCACACCTCACACCTATTACCATCTGATCTTCAACAAACTCAACAAAAGCAAGCAATATAGAAAGTATTCCCTATGCAATAAATGGTGCCAGGATAACTGGCTAGCTTATGCAAAAGATTGAAACTGGATCACTTATACAAAAATTAACTAAAGATGGATTAAGAACTTAAGTGTAAAACCTAAAACTATAAAAATCCTGGAAGACGACCTAGGCAACATCATTCTAGACATAGGAATGGGCAAAGATTTCATAACAAAGATGCCAAAAGCCATTCCAACAAAAGCAAAAATTGACAAATGGGATCTAATTAAACTACAGAGCTTCTGCACAGCAAGGAAACTATCCACAGAGTGAACACACAACACACAGAATGGGAGAATATTTTTGCAAACTATGCATCTAAGGTCTAGTTTCAAGCATCTATAAGGAACTTAAAGAAATTAAAAAAAAAAAAAAAAGACACTCCAGGCACGGTGCCTCATCACTGTAATCCCAACACTTTGGGAGGCTGAGGTGGGCAGATCACTTGAGGCCAGGAGTTCAAGAACAGGCTGGCCAATATGGCAAAACCCCGTCTCTACCAAAAATATAAAAATTAGCTGGGTGTGGTGGTGCACGCCTGTAATCCCAGCTACTAGGGTGGCTGAGGCAGGAGAATCACTTGAACCCGTGAGGCAGAGGTTACAGTGAGTGGAGATCATACCACTGCACTCCAGCCTGGGCAACAGGCTGAGACTCTGTCTAAAAACAAAACAAAACAAAACAAATACCATTAAAAAGTGGGCCAAGGATATGAACAGACACTTTCAAAGGAAGACATACATATGAAATAAAAGGCCAACAAGCATATGAAATAAAACTCAATGTCACTGATCATTAGAGAAATGCAATTCAAACTACAAGAAGATATCATCTCACACGAGTCAGAATGGCTATTATTAAAAAGTGAAAAAAAAAAAAAAGATGCTGGTGATGTTGTGGAAAGAAACACTTATTCATTGTTGGTGGAAATGTAAATTAGTTCAACAATCATGAGAAACAGTGTGTCAATTCCCCAAAGACCCAAAACTAGAATTACCATTTGATCCAGCAATCCCATTACTGGGTATATAGCCAAAGAAATATAAATTGTCCTATCATAAAGACACATGCATGTGTATATGTGTATGTTCACTGCAGCCAAAGACATGGACTCAACCTAAAAACCCATCAATGGTAGATTGGATAAAGAAAATGTAGTGCATATATACCATGGAATAGTATGCAGCCATAAAAACAAATGACATTATATCCATTGCTGGAACATAGATAGAGCTGGAGGTCATTATACTTAGCAAAGTAATGCACGAACAGAAAACTAAATACTGCATGTTCTCACTTATAAGTGGGAGCTAAAAATGAGAAAAAATGGACACACACAGGAGAACAACAGACACCGGGGTCTACCAAAGAGTGGAGGTTGGGAGGAGGGAGAGGATCAGGAAAAATAGCTCATGAGTACCAGGCTTAATACCTGGGTGACAAAATAATCTGTACAACAAACCCCCATGACACAAGTTCACTTGTATAACAAACCTGCACCATATGTATGCCTGAACTAAATATAAAAGATTTTTAAAGAGTAAACAAAAAATAGATTTCAAAACAAAAACTTTGAGAGGAGACACAAATGTCACTATATAATAATAAAGGGGTCAATTCATCAAAAACATACAACAATTTTAAATATATATGCACCCAACACTAGAGCACTCAGATATATAAAACAGATACCATTAGAGCTAAAGAGAGAGATAGGCCCCAATACAATAATGGATGGAGATTTCAGCACCCCACATTCAGTATTGGACAGATCTTCCAGACAGAAACTCAACAACAACAACAACAAAAACAGACTATCTGCACTATAGAGCAAATGGACCTAACAGATATTCACAGAACATTTCATCCAATGACTAGAGAATGCACATTCTTTTCCTCAGTCCATGGATCATTCTCAAGGACAGACCATATATTAGGTCATAAAAATTTTTTTAAAAATTGAAATGTCAAGCATCTTTCCAGACCACAATGGAATAAAACTAGAAATTAATCACAAGAGGAATTTTGGGAACGATACAAGTACATGAAAACTCAACAATCTGCTCCTGAATGATTAATAGGTCATAGAAGAAGCTAAGAAGGAAATTTAAAAATTTCTTGAAACAAATGATAATGTAAACACTACATACCAAAACCTATGGGATACAGCAAAAGCAGTACTAAGAAAGACATTTATAGCTATAAGTGCCTACATCAAAAAAGGTAAAAACTTCAAATAAACAATCTAATGACACATCTTAAAGAGCTGCAAACAAAGAGAAAACCAAACCAAAAATTTGTAGAAGAAAAGAAATAACTTGGGAGGCCGAGGCGGGTGGATCACAAGGTCAGGAGATCGAGACCATCCTGGCTAAGACGGTGAAACCTCGTCCCTACTAAAAATACAAAAAATTAGCCAGGTGTTGTGGTGGGCGCTTGTAGTCCCAGCTACTCGGGAGGCTGAGGCAGGAGAATGGCTTGAACCCGGGAGGC